ATGTATGTATGTATGTATGTATGTATGCATGTATGTATGTATAATCGTGTTTTCTTCGTTTCTATCTCTACATTAGTTATACTTTTCATTCATTTCCCATTGATTTTTATTTATATAGCAATCTTCACTTAACTTGGAGATAGCAGTATTTTAATTCTATGCTCTTGCAGTTTCCGGGTGTGGTTGAATCAATTTTCAATGCAATTGATGAGATTTCACGTGAAGCAACGAAAATTTTACATCGGCCACAGGAAGAAAACGGTGATGACGAAAGGGTACCAAATGGCGGTAATAGCAGTAGCTCAACTGGTACCACGGGATGTGCTGATGGCGAGCATCAATCCTTACAGGCAATTCTTTTTTTCTGTCTCGAATTTTAACTAACTGAGACTGAGTAGTTTTTTTTATTGTGTGAGATCTGACTGACTTTTGTATGCAAAAAATTTTGTTTTTATTAAACGCTACTGTCAATGAGATTGAGGTTGTGCCAGAAATTAGCGCCTTTTCAGATTACTGCCGTGATGCAGTTGCGCAAAATACCCATCCCACTGTTAAAAGTTTCGCAGATAGATACCGCTAGTGACCGATGCAAAACTAATATCTCTCATGACCAAACATTAGATTCCTAGAACTCTTAGCTCACTTGACACAAAGAACAGATGCGAGCAAAAATGAAGAACACAATTAGGAGTGAATGGAATAACGTGTCTAGGACAAAAGGGAGGTGAATAGGGCGCCATGCGTTTTTACTTTGATTGAGGGCGAAAATCATGTTTCTCGAGAAAAGATGAAGAGACACAAAATTTAACGACTACTGGCGAAAGCTGGCAACAAAATTCCATTTTAAGCTGGAAAAGGCTCCCAGAAGAACGGCTATTATTTTGAAAAAGGGTACTAAAAGTTGACTGCCATTTACCCCACCTTCATTTACCCCTGTTTTTCATGCCTTTTTGGAATTTGGGTCCTGAAAGGTAGCATTGAACATTCGCAAATGCATCTAGATTGTAAGCTTAGTAGCACGCACCGATACATTAAAGGGCTACATACATGTGTTACCTTTGCCAAGTCACACAACACAGTAAATTAGTCAAGTTAGACAATTTCAAATGCGGTACTTTTCTCAACCAGTCACTCCACGACCGGTTTTGATGGTAAATTGGTACTGGCATGTATCCGATGGAGCTAGCCCGCCGTCAGCTTGTAAGCAATCCTCGAAA